GGATTAAGATTGAGAGTTTATGGTTGAAGGGTTCTGACGTAAGCAAGGGGCCAAAAGCCTAAACTTTCACTCCACGACTACAGGACGTATAGCACAACAGAACCTAAGTAAGGGTGAAGGGCATTGGGTAAAGGGCTTCTGGTACACTAGCTAAACCTCATTAGGCTCCGGGCCTTAATGATTAGAATAGGGTGCCTTGAAGGGGTCTATAAGGGATCTATAGTAGGATATATGATATAGGGGCCTCAAGAATTAGGATAAGGTTTTGGGGCCCAATATACTATAGTTATAATAAGGAACCACCAAGATAGTATAGGTAAATATTACGGCCTCTATATTGCAGCTTTGAGGTACATTCCTCAAAGCTAACAAACCCTGTCTTTGAGTGCCTTGAAGCCAGTGTTTCAAAAGGACCGAAATTTCTTAATCAGGAGTCTACAACAGGGCCCAAACCATCGAGAATTAAGAACACATGCAAACAAACAGAATAATCAATCCCATATTGCTCCCAAATTGAGGAGCTGAAAAAACATGTCAACGCGGAACCCCTACAAAACCTCATGTAAAATTGCAAAACCCTTCTAAATCGTCCGAATCCAGAGCTTAGGAATTCCTTGATCACGGCTCGGCCCATGCCTCCAACAGCAGTGGCTCGGAGGTGGCGAGGTTCACCGGGATGAGCTCGGCTCCCTCGCCTTTTAGGGGTTTAGGGGTTAGGGTTTACGATGTTTAGAGTTTAGGGTTTAGGGCTTGGGGCTTACGGTTTAGGGCTTAGGGTTTAGGGGTTAGGGCTTAGGGCTTAGTGAGGGTTTTCGGTGTGTTTGCTTTTTTGTTCAGAGCCTTTCTCCGCCAGCCTATTAGGCAAACAGAAGGCTTGTTGAGCCAGGGTTTCCCAGTTTAGGGCTGAGGGTTCGGATTTCTAAGGTGTCTACCACATCTTATTCGAGTTGTTGAAAGTCAGACTTCTTTGTTTAGGACGATTTAGGTTTAGGGCTTCTGAAGAGCTTTTATAAAGGCTTTAGGGGGGCTTTGTAGGTCTGTTTACTCTGGTTACATGGGGTAAATCAGGTGTTTATGGAAGGTTTACAGCTTTGTTGTAAGAACTCGTAGGGGTTTGCAGGGGATCAATTTTCAAGCTACGTTGCTTAGAATCTTGTGTCCTCCGTCGTTCGGGCTACGGGCCTCAGGTTCGAGGGTTTTGGGTTTAGGTTAGAAGCTGCCCCCACCCTGTAATAGTGACTATAAGGATTATATTTGGGCCCTATTATATTCCGATTATACCACTATTACAGGGTGGGGGCCCCTTCTAAGGTTTTCACCCTAAACCCTCACGGATCACTTCTCGAACCCAACAAATATTCTCGAGGATCTGTCTTCAATACTCTCACCGGGTGTCAAAAAGGCTGAAGTGCTCCGGGAAAACCTTCCATCCTAAACTAGAGGAGAAGCATACACTCGCACATGCATAGGTTTCAAGTGTTCGCGGCGCAACGTGCTATGCGCGACATTGCAAACCAGCGGAGGCACGAACCGTTTCAACGCATGCGCACACACACACAACACACAACAAAAACACTCCTAAACCCTAAATCCTAAAATCCTGAAAATCCCTGAACCCCAAACCCTAAAACCCCTAAAACCCCTAAAATCCCTAAAGCCCCTAAAGAACAAAGAAAGCCTCGAGCACCTGAGGACTTGGCGCGCGAGGTCCCGACAGAGCTGCTCGCTCTGCTCCAGCAGCCGCTTGAGAGCTGGAAGCTCCTTCGGGTTTTATAAAGGTTTGAGGGTTCCAGGGATTTTAAGGATTTTAGGGATCTTAGGGATGTTAGGGTTAGAGGCTTTAGGGAAGCTCCTTCGGGTTTTAGGGGTTTTAGGGTTTAGGGTTAAAAGGTTCGTTGTCAAAATTATGGCCCCTTTTTGGGTCCTTATTATAAGGAAGGTTTTAAGGATTTTAGGGATCTTATGGATGCTAGGGTTAGAGGCTTTAGGGAAGCTCCTTCGAGTTGGTCCGTTGTCAAAATTATGGTCCCTTTTTGGGTCCTTATTCGAATACGGCACCTAATATTCAGGGTACCCAAAAAAGGGACCCTAATTTTGACAACCACCCATATAAAGGTTTGAGCGGTTTTTGGGACTTTAGCGATCTTATGGATGTTAGGCTTGAAGGATTCAAGGGCTCAGGGTTTGGGAATGGCGGTTTGTAGACTTTGGGGTTTTTGAGGGCCTTAGGGTTTGACATCTACTATAATTTCCACTATGGCTCTAAAGGGATTTATGGGGTTTCGGGCTTAGGGTTTCTATACGGCTCAAAGGTGTGTTTGCAGTCTGCCTCTGGTGCTTCTCTCGCTCCTTGGGACTCGCCCCAACCCACAAAATCACCTCAAGATTCCCGAGACTCACAGGGGAAAAGGAGGGACCCTTAATGGGGACCCCTACCCTATAATGGGCTATGTAATGGGTACATAACAGCTACATTAAGGGTATATACCTAGGGGTCCTTATTAAGGGTCCCTCCTTCTACCCTTGGATATTAAGGACCCTATGATCATTAAAAGGATATTCCTTGACTAAGGAATTGTGGAGTCTCTGGGTCCAAGAAGAAACTATAGATGCCCGAGTAATTAATGAGACTATGGGTTAGAGCATTTCTTACTAGAATGGCATGACTGAGGGTACTTAGCATGTAGGGTTACAGGCAAGGTTACCTTATATCTGCCTCTAACCCTGGTCGAAGTACCTAGATCCCTACTTACGAAGTCCCATGATCCCCCAAGTAGGGAACACTAAACCCTAGACCCTAAACCCTCCAAGTAGGGAAGCCTGAAGAGAGCAATGTTGCTATTTACTCAGCTAGGTTCCTGAGTAACCCCGTCGTAGTAAGGGTATCCTTTTTTCCTACTATTCGGTTTTAATATGGGGACCCAAAAACAAAAAGGGCAACAGGGTACCACTCAGGAACCCAGTCAGGCTTCTGCACTACGCAGGCGATCAACTGCGAAGCTCCTTGGGTTTCGGTGCCTGGGGTTTAGAGGGCCGCAGGGCTTTTAGGAGTTTGGGGTTCAGGGACTTTAGGGTTGGGGCGTATAGAGGACTTTCGGGTTTCGGGGGTTTAGGGTTTAGGGTTTAGGGTTTAGGGTTTAGGGTTTAGGGTTTAGGGTTTAGGGTTTAGGGTTTAGGGTTTAGGGTTTAGGGTTTAGGGTTTAGGGTTTCATGGGGGCCTGGGGCTTTGTCGATGCTGGCTTCTGCTTCTGAAGGATGGGATTGAAAGTTTACCTGCAGGAACTCCGAAATCACGTGCCCACCCTGACGACCCTAGGGTTTAGGGTTGGGGTTCAGGGTTTAGCCCGGCCTCTGTTTCCACTTAAAGAACGGGGTGGTGGCTTAATTAGGGTTGTAGTTTGACTTCACTCTAGTTACCGCTCTTACAACCCCACTGACCAAGCCCCAAGTACCCCCCAGAAGTCCCAAAAGAACCCTACTAAACCTTTCAAGGAACCCTTAAAGGAACCTATAAAGACCCTACTTGCTGAGTCCCCTCAACCTAAACCATAGACCCTAAACCCTAAGCCCCTAAATCCTAAACCCTTTAAGTGTGGCTCCTGCCGGCTCTCATTCGTCAAGTCCAGAATCGAGGCGACCTGCTGCAGGTCTTTTCTTTCACGTGGGACTTACTTGGAGGATCAGCGGACTTAGTAGGTTGGGTTCCTTAAAGGGCTCTTTAAAGGGATCTGTAGAGTTCTTCAAAGGGAGATATAGGGTTTAGGGTTTAGGGTCTACTTAGAGGACGTGGGACTTACCTGGAGGATCAGGGGACCTCAATTAAGGTACTTATAACCCTACTTACTAAGTCCTATGATCCTCAAAATACCAGAGACTCCAAAACCCCTTAATTATAGCAGGAGCCTTAATATGCTTTAGGGCATTATATACTCTTTAATTGAGGGGCGTGCGAGCCTCTGGGTTACGTACTTCAAGGAGCCTATCGGGGTCTCAAAAATCTTGCATCCAGACTCTTTTTATTCTAGATTGGAACCCTTACTTAGAGAACTTTATAGGTTTGAGCTGCCGGCGGAGCTAGGTCGGCCTGCTGCTTCTAAATCGAGCTGTGGCACATCTTTAAGCCCACACAATGTTTGGAACCTGCGCTGATCATCGATGCCAGAACACTGCACAAGTATTCCCAGTCAAGCAAGAACTAGAGCTTTTCGGGTTTAAAGCTTGCTAGTGCCACACTTGGTCAAAGCTAGAACCCACAGTTCTCGCTTTAATCTGATGTGAACAGGAAGTTGCGGGCCAAGACGGGTTTTGATGAGGGGTCGTGCTTTAAAGAGTTATTAAGGTTTTCGATCGATCGAGCTTGCAGTGATTCTACAGGGTTTTTTTGAAGGTGTTACGTGAAGGCTTTTATAGGATTTCCATCCGGTTCCATGGGGAGTTTCAAAAAAATTGAAAAGTGGTTTGTTGAGAGTTTAGGGAGGAGGGTTGTTCCGTAAGGACTTACGGGGTTGCAGAAGGTGGCTGCAGGGTTCCATAATGATTTCTCCCAGGATCAGAGGGAGTTGGTAGTTCGGCCATGGGTAGAGTTTGAAGTAGGACAACCCTGATGGGAATGCTTACAACTGCGTACCCAGGCCGCTCAGGGAACCGATCTTCTTGCTCCCACAGTTAATTCTGGTACACGTGACGAAACTGCTGTTGCTTCTGCTCCAGTTGCTGCAATTGCGCTGCTGCTCCAATACCCTTTGTTGCTCCCAGTCTAAACGTGGATATGGCAGATTGTACCCACAGCCCCTAATGAAATCGTTAAAGCCCCTTCACTTGTTGATAGAGCCTGTACTGAACCCTTCCCTGTTTCCTCTCAGGCCCCTCCCCTATGTAAGTCATGCTGAACCCTAAACCCTAAACCCAACGTAATGCTTGAAAAAAATTGTTTTTTGGAGGTATCTATGAAGGCTTGCTCGACGGGCACTCGAAGGCCCTAAGCCTGGGGGTGTTGGGGTTTAGAGCTCGCCAGTGCGCGGTTGTGCCTGGTCGACCCTGCGTTGACAGCATAGCCACGCAGCGCCTTGTCTGCCCTGGCCGCAGTTGCCGTCCCCGCAGCAAAGTTGCTCAATGGTTGGTGCCCTTGGGCGAACATCTGTGTCTGTGATGACGGCCTCGTAGTCGCCCAAGGACTCAACCACTGCGACGCAGCGGTCCAGCATCGATGCGGGCCCCCCTGCAACAACCTCCCTGTGCTCCGCAGCTGTCAAGGGAACGGCGATGGCCTCGCAGCCTCAGTCCCAACCGAGCTGACAACTGGCGGGCTTACAGTTGAAGTACGCGATCTCATTCACTGCAGCCTGCTCAGACGATGCGGGTGCCGATGCCATCATTGTTCAGGGTTTAGGGAACTCCTATGCCTTGATCTAGGGGTTTTAGAATGGCATTTTATGTTTCTGTAGCTGTGGCTGAAGTAAACAGACAGGGCCTTGAGTTTCTGTAAGGGTTTCGGGTTGAGGCCTAGGGTCTGTAAATAACGGCGTTTCTGTCAGGGTTTGATACGGGTTTTTTTTCCAAGGCTTTAGCGTTTTGGTTTTGGAGGTTAGGGGTTGAGGGTTCAGGGGTTTAGGGGGTTTCGTCGTGGCGAAGCAACAAACCCTAATTCCCCTTACGTGAAGCCGGAGGCCTTCAACTAAGTTCAGGACTCCTGTTTAATTCAGAAGCTTCCTTACTTGTCCAGGTTCTCTGGACGTGAACTTCCGACATTTAGGCTTCAGAGCGCTGGGCGCCGAGCCTACGAGGGAACCCGAATACTCTGGACCCCCGCTACATAAACCCGACTCCCCCAACAACGAGCAAAACTTTAGGTTAGCAGGGTATGACTAAGCCTAACTATACTACAACTACAATAACGAACCCTAGGAATCATATTGGTAATTATTTGGGCCCCTGTAGTACCCTACCTGAGAGGGCTGAGCTTCATAGATCGAAACAGTCATAACACCAACTTGACGACTTCGAGCGTGGCATACTTTAAGGGCCTTAATAACTAGAATAGGGTTCCCTTTAAAGCGTTCCGTTAAAGGGCTACTATAAGGGATCTATAAGGGTTCTATAATGTAAGGGCCTGAATAATCAGAATAGGCTTCGGAGGCCCGTTATGCTATAAGTATAATGAGGAACCCTAAAACAATGTAGGTAATTATTTAGGCCCCTAAAGTAACGCATGCAAAGCTCGCACACAGTGGCAGCCTGCTGCGTGCCATCCTCGCCCAGCAGGCCATCGGCAATGCAGACCTTTCTGGAGAACGGCTACAGGCTCGATTACGGCTTGAAGGTCTAAAAACTTTAGGGTTCACGGATTGCTCTGGGCGAGAATCGAGCTCAGTAGGAGTCCTTCATGGGCACTGGCATTTCAGAGCACACGGTCGACGGTTTTGCGTTCAGCCTTCAGGGACTCCTAGGTCCTAGGTAAGTCATATCTGCGCCGCCCAAGCAAGGGGAGGATCAAAGTGGAATCCTCCCCGAAACCCAAAAGCCTCAACCCCAAACCCTAAACTCAACCAGCAGGGATGCTGGGCTCTCATCCACGTCAGCCTAACATTCTTTGACTCTGGCTCGCTGATTAAGGGTTTGTTGTTTCTGTTTTTGCCGGCCCTTTTCCTCCTTGCAACGGTTGGAATACCTAGCTTAAGGGTTTAGGCTCAGGGTTTAGGGAGATTTGCTGCAACTTGCGGAATCGTCCCCGCTCGCGAAGCTCCTCCTTCGTGCGCAGGTAGGCTTGTAAAGCAGAGTCTTCAACGGAGCGCATGCACTCTTCCAAGCAGCAAGCAAGTTCTGCATGGACTCACACTAAATAAATATGTATATATGCATACATATTTTTCGTACTTATGTGTGCATGTATGCATGCGTAAGTGAGTGTGTGTATATATATATACATATATATATATATATATACATATATATATATATACATACATACATACATACATACATACATACTTACATACATACATATTACAAATGAAAATCTGCCTTGTGGTCCGAAGCGGTCGGGGCGGCTCGCAGAAGCCTCCGCAGGGCCACTACTTGCTTAGGGTTTACGGCTCCAGGATTTTAGAGCTTAGAGTTTGAGGTTTTAGGGGTTAGGGCTTTAGGGTTCAGGGTTTAGGATTTTAGAGCTTAGGGTTCAGGATTGCATGGGTTTTTGGGTGTCTTTGGGACCTGATGGTCGTTTGTGGACTTAAACAGGTTTTGCATCCTGTGAAGGTGTGATAGGGTTTCACTAGGCTTTGCCCATGAATTGCACGCACACAATCGTTCTTGGAGGATCAGGGGACTTAGTAAGTACTGTAGGGTTATAAGCAAGGTAACTATAGTTATATCTACTTATAACCTTAATTATGGTACTTATAACCCTACTTACTACTGCAAATCCCGAGTGCCCTCACCGAGTGGGCAGTCGCCCAACAACTTTTGCTGCCAGGAGCAAAGAGGTACTGCAAGTCGCGGCCTGCCGAAGCGAAAAGCGAAGCACTACCAGGAAACCTCAGGTTGCCCAGCAGCTGCTCGGAACTTCAAATGTTCACAGAGAGCCGTGACATCCCAGCTAGGCCGTGGGTTGGCCCTGGGAGAAGACTTTACAGCGGGATGTACGGGCTCCTCACTCTGCTGTGCACATGGATTTACACTCGTCAGGACAGATACAAATCCCGAGTGCCCTCACCGAGTGGGCAGTCGCCCAACAACTTTTGCTGCCAGGAGCAAAGAGGTACTGCAAGTCGCGGCCTGCCGAAGCGAAAAGCGAAGCACTACCAGGAAACCTCAGGTTGCCCAGCAGCTGCTCGGAACTTCAAATGTTCACAGAGAGCCGTGACATCCCATTCCGTTTCAGCAATCATGCTCACTTGGCGAAGCCTGCTCATCGCAGCGCGGCCAGTAGTTTCGCTGGCAGCGCCTGGGATCTCCGACGGATAGCCCGATGGCGATCTGGAGGAGCTTGTTCCCACCGTTTGAGCAGAAGCGCATGCTTCTCGTATCTGGCGACCGATTTCTTGGCTTGCCATCTCCCCCTTTTCTGAATTTCCAGCAGCGACCGGCGCTTGTGAAAAGCGTCGTTGGAGGCGCCTGAGTGCCTCAAGATATGAGGCATGACGCACTGAGACTTGTAGCCGAGTGTATGGGCAGCGGTCTTAAACCACTGCTCGTAGCGCTCCAGGGAGAGGTGCTCAAACAGGTCGTTAGCCACAAGCTTCATGTAGAGCTTCATCGCATCCTTGAGCCATTTCCGGTCAGGTTTGTCGGCGATGAGCACTGAGTCATCATAGCTGCCAGTTTTGGTAGACGACCCGAGTTCAAAAGGAGCAAGGACCAGCGACCAGGCGTCGTACCGGCCGCCCGCAGGGAAGCCGACGTTGGCACGGCTAAGGTTCAGGCACTCAGAAGGCCTGATGTACGTGTCCAGCTGCAGCACGATAGCGAAAGCCACATCGATATTGTTCTGCTCCAGGGCCAGCGTTGCAAAGTCGTACACGAATTCCTCAGGCGCCGGAAGGCGCATGCCGCCCGGGGCGAGCTTCTTCCACCCCGCCAGTGCCTCCTTCGCGTTTGGAAGGAACTGATGCCGAGGGACTGTGCTGCGAAGAAGCTGGAGCCCGTAGATCAGATAGGAGCCGACCGAAGGAGAAGCTTCGTCCTCCAGTGCCAGTCGCGTCAAATAACGAGTGACCAGCTGATCTATGTTGGCCTTCGTAATCTTTCGCTTTGTAGGTGCAACCCAAGCCTCGAATGCTCTGATCTGCTTGTGGTAAGCGTCCAAAGTTTTCTGAGTCACCTTCAGTGCTCTCAGCTCCACAAGGGGTGAGAGCTTCGTTCCCTCAGGAGTGGTGCGCCGCTTGGCGCGCCGCTTGGGCGCCACATCCTTTCCTGTTGTAACCAGCGAGCTTCGCGATGTCAAAGGCGTTGAAGTGGCCGAAGACAACGGGGTGCGTGCGCAAGTACTGCCGAGACTCCCGGAGGAAGCCGTCGGTGTAGTCGCGGAGGTCGGTGTTCTCAGTGTTGTTACCCGCCTGAACGCCTCGTCTGGGAGGCGAAGCAGATTGGAGTCGAGACCGATCCGCCGCCTTTTCGAGGCCATGGAGGTAGCTCAGGGCATCGTCGGGCCGGCAGCTACCGATGGCACTGCGAGGGGCGTTGGCCCGCAACAACTGAGCCCAAAGCCTACACAAGCTTTCAGGATATGCTCCGGCTCCGGCAGTGCGATTCCGTGTCTGGCACATGCCGTCAATGATCACACTGATGCTGCCACGCAACTGTTGATGAACATGCCCTCCTTCACAACGTTTCTGAAGTGCACGAAGCCATGACATGTTAGTCAAAATGCTGGTGGGCTTCTTGTAGGGTTGGTTGTAGGCGCACATGTGCAAGGTGAGGAAAAACATGCCCCGGATCTTAAACAGGTCACGTATCGGACCGAATTGCCACAATCTGCTGGTCTGTGGGTTCTCCAGCGACACAAAGACGCGATGCCGAAGACAAGCCCTAACCATACGAGCTGAGAAAAGTGCTAAGGCGACTCCCACAGCTTCTTTGTACCTAGCAGTGCCATAGTCCCGGATGTTGTGACGGGCCTGCGACCATACTGTGCACGGGGTCCCCAAATGCACGCACCAAAGGACTCCTGTTTTAACTAGGCCCAGCAGAAAGTTCTGAGTCCGAGGATTGAGGAGGTCGAATTGCCGCCCCTTCGCCTTTTCCACGTCAGGTAGAACCCGAAGTGAAGATTGTGACACTGCTTGAGTGAGATTCGCCGTGCCAGAGAAGATCTCGAGAAAGTAGCGGGCGGAGCGCCCCTCCTCATCGACCTGCGTCCCACTAGCCGAGGTGTCCAGCTCCAAAGAGTCGGCGTGCAAAGTCACGCCCTGGATGTCAGCCGAGGCCGAAGGCCGCTGAAGAAGAGGAAGTTGCCCGCGAAGAGGTCGATCAAAGTCAGGTCCCCACCGCCGTGAGGGCCCGTCCGACACGTTACGCTTGCTTTCGATATGGCGGATCCTCCACTGGATTCGCCCCGCAATCTGGTATGCTGCCGCGCGTCTGCACAAAGAGTTCATAGGACCTGATCCGCTCCTGCCCTTCTCGAAGGCAAGGCAGCACACCAAGTTGTCCGTCACGGAGAGGGCGGTCGTGCCGAGATGCCGGGTGGTGCGGGTGAGCCTGCGAAGACCCATCAGAAGAACCCTGCCCTCCTTGATGTTGATATGCTCAGCAACACGCTTCCAGGGAGCCGATGTCACCAATGTCCAACGCTGCTCGTCATCCCATGCCTCATCTAGAGGTGGGATGGACGGCCCAGCAATGACCGTAGCCGTTGTTCGAGCCTCTGGCCCAAGCAGTCGAGCGCGTTTGCGCCTGAAGAGCTGCGTGGAGTACTCGTGGTCGGCCTTCTCGTTGAGGTAGAGCCCGTAAGAGGTCCGAGTTCCCACACCAGCCCCCGGCGCCTGCCCAACAAAGCCCGAAGGCTCGTCCGTAGGCATTTTGGGAAGTGTCAGCTCGTTAGTGTCCAGCTGCGGTATGAAGCGCCACTTCTCACGATGATCCAAGGCAGCTTGAAGTTCGCGGTGAGAAGCCTGCGTATACATGAGGGCGTAACCCCGGTCCGAGGAGTCGCCAATGTGCACCTCTTTACACAAAGGAGCAGACATCTCATGCTCCACCAAAAAGATCAGTCCGAGAGCTTGCCGAAGTTCCCCCCGAACGCTGGGCCACATTGGGGCCCGGCGGTCCCCGGTCTGCGCAGCAAACTTGTAGGTGGCGGAGAAGACAGCCATAGCGGGTCGTAGTAGCTGAAAGTGAAAATTAGCCAGCCCCAAGTAGACGCGGAGCAAGCGGCCAGAAACCCGCCGTCGTCGAAGAAGTCCGCGAGTCGCAAGCCACAGCTTCCACGCCCTCTGAGGCTTGGCAGTCGCGGTACACCGCTCGTCAAAAGTCAGCCGAAGACCCAAACTGTCCATCTGACGATGGCCCTCCACTCCGTCAACCTCGAAGGGGATGCCCAGGTCCTCAAAGTGCCGCGCGATGAGAGCCATCCGTCGACCTGCTTCACCGGGGCGTCCACCGATGACATGCACGTTGTCCACATAAGTGCCCGTGATGGGGCGTCCAGGCAACACGCGAGGTGCAGGCCGACGGTCTCGGATCTCCTCCGTCTCGGGATTGTCCCGGCTAGAGGTCGCCGCCACCTGGTGGCAGACGATCTCGTTGGCCAGGTAGAGTGCCCAACTCCAGCCCATAGGGATGCCTTTGAAGGCCGCAAACACCCGCTCGCCAGGCTCCAATGCCTCATTCTCGCCCGTCTCGTCGTTGTACACGTGGTCCACGCGAAAGCCGTACTCCCTCAGCTCCTGGTCGTCAAAGGTGTCGTCAGTGCAAAACCAAGAAGCGAGCTCCGGGACGCAGAAATTATAAAAACAATCCCCAACATCCCCAGCCTCCGCCGTCACCCCATTCAAATCCAGGGCCTCGCCGAAGCCATTGCTCAGGAGAGTCTCCCGGGTCAGGTCCACAGCGGTAATGCCAGCGGGAGTGGCCAAGCACGTCACCGGAGGAGAATGATGGCAGCTGTTCGCCTGCCGAGCATCAATGATGAGCCTCTGCTGCCCATCCTTTTTGCGAACTGTAAAGAATCCCACTCGAGCTTTACGGCGTCGTCGGAAGTCAAGGAGGTTGGCTTTGTCCAAGGCCTGATATAGGAGGATGCGCCTCTGCTTATCCCGCCTCAGGCCTGGATCCCAGTATGGTTCATTCAAGTCCTCCCGGATAAGGTCCAACTCCAAGCCTGGACGCTCCACGAGTTCGGAGAAATGCTCCGAGTAGCTGCGCGCTTCGGGCGGGGCAAGGTCCCGGGCGTCTTTCGGGTCCAGACGACGACGAAGGATCTTGATCACGGGCTTGCCTCCTGTGAGTACAGGTAAGAGCGCTGGGCGAGGTCCTGCAGGGCCCCCGCTTCCGTCAAGTCCGCGGGGCATTCACCAAAGGACTCCACCCGCCGCCATATGTCCTCCATCATCCACCTTTGCACGGAGGTCAATGGAAGCCAAGACGAAGAGGCAGTATCAAAAGAGGCTGCGGCGAGCAAGTTCAAAGAACGCAGTGATGCGTCAACCCGCCGGTGCAGCTGAGAAGTCAAAGTCAAGGATTGGTCACCCCGTCGCCCGCCAGGAAGTCGAGGCAGAGGAAAAGGATCCCCATGCCGACGGTGCAATGAAGGATGACGCACACTGAATTCATGCCATGCATCAGCCGAACGTTTAGCAGCAAGCTCAGGACCTAGTAAGCCCCCGGCTGCGAGCCTGCCGCTGCTCGTGCTCATTTGGTCGAGCTGGCGCCGCCCTGGGCGGCGCCCGAAGTCTCCTCGCCCTTCCCTTTCTTCTTCTTCTTGTTCTTGCGCTGCTTGCCCTTGCCCGCTCCATCGCCTTCAGAGCTGGAGTCGCCATCGTCGCCACGGCCACCTCGAGTGCGAAGCTGCCGCCGTTCCTGATTGTACAACCGCTCCTGTTTCCAGATGGTGGCCCGTTCTTTGAGCCGGCCCGTGACCCACTCATTGAACTTCGATGTGTTGGCCCTGCCGTCTGGCAATGCCGCCGATCCTTCTATGATGTCCAGCCCTGAGAAGTCAGGCTGCTGAGGATTCCTCTCCACCGCGAGCTCCGTCTGGATCACCCATCTGGACAGGTGCTCGCCCACAGCCAAAGAGCTAGCATCCAGCTGGTCGAAGGTGTGCATCAACCTCAAAGCCTCGCATAGCCCTCGATGGATGTGGGCAGCGCTTGCTCGCTTAGACACTCCCGATAATCGAATCCACTCCGCATGGTAGTGCAAGAAGCCCCCGGCAGCAGCAGCGACCGATTCATGGAATTCGTGGGCCGCTCGTACCCCGGCAATGGGAAACTCAGGATCGGCCGTCGACTTCATGAAGGCCACCGCCTCCTTCAAGTCGAGCCGCTTCTTGCCACTCGGGTCACGATGATCGCCTAACAGCCGGACGTCTGAGGTCTCCAACCCGCGAGCTCGCCGCCATTCCTCGATCTCGGTGCCGCCCACGCGCTCAACAAAGACCTCCTCGCCGCCAAGCAAGATCACCCCCTTGGTGGTAAAGGCCAGGCCCGTAGCCTCATTCGCCAGCAGCCCCGCGTCCACTGGACGCCCGAAGTCAGGATGCCGAGGATCCGAAACAACCCAGCTGTAAGCATCAGTGTCCAACACGGTCCCTTCACCAAGCACTGCAGCCTGGATCTGAGCCTGCCGCTTGAAATTCGACAAACTAGCCTTGCCGATGGGGTCGTGAGCATAAATCTCGTTCACTATGTCCGCAGGGAAAGGCGCAGCCCTATCTAAAACCCGATGTCGATGAGCCCCTAAGTCATGCCGTTGAATCTCGAGGTCAGGGGTCAAAGTGAGCCAATCTCCGGCCTCCACCCTGTGCAACAAAATTCGGTGATGCCATAGAAACCCTGCAGCGTCACCTGGGTAATGCACTAGCACTTGCACCTCCGGAATGTCTAGTGTGAGGTCCGCCATGCTCGCAAATCGGAGGGCCTAGTGGGCCGAGATCGACTCACACGGCCCGGGCTGTCTGTTGCCGAAGAGGTCTCTGATACCCCGGCAGATGAAGGCACTTGGGGCTGCTCGTCAGGCTCCGACACCGAAGCGCCAGAGTTCAAAGCAGGAAGGGGCTCAAGTTCAGGTAGAGGCGGATTTCGGCTGACCCAACCACGTACTAGCACCAGCACCAGGATCAAATCCGCAACCCCTGAAAGTCGGAGCAGCCAGCCTTGAATCCACAGTTGCCACGAGCACTCGCCCGTGGAGCTCTCGAGATCAAAGACCACTGACCTGGTCCGGGCCACCTCCTCTCGCAGAGCTTGCACTTCCTCCAGGACGATTACGGGAGGGGAGCGTTGCCCAAGTCGATCAAGCGCCCAAAGTATGGCTAAGCAAAGATAGGGACGCATCTAGGTGGGAACTCGAGCTAGAAGACTTTACAGCGGGATGTACGGGCTCCTCACTCTGCTGTGCACATGGATTTACACTCGTCAGGACAGATATAAGTCTCATGATCCGCTGAGTAAGCTTGCCTGTGAATTGCATGCACACAATCGTTATCAACCCTATATTCTGATGGGAGTGAAGGAGGCTCTTCTAAGGATTCATCAGACCACGCAGGCTCTTTGAGGGTTTAGGGTCTGCTTAGTTGCTGAGTTCATAAGTCCCAAAACTGTACACTTTCAGTTTCATAGTGGATAACATCATCCCAGAAAGTATAAAGTGTATCCACTCAGCTACTAAGTATAAGATCCTTACTTTAGGGTTTAAGGTTTAGGGTTTAGAGGGCTTAAACTTCTCCTACACCCCTTAAAGAACCCTTACCGGAGCCGTCAAGCAACCCTTGAAGGACCCTATACACTATGCCCAGCATAGCAAAACCAATACAGTGCCCCGTCTGAGGTCAGGCATAATTTAAGGTTCAGGGTTCTAGAGTAACGTTTAAGGTAACCCCAGCCCTCAACCCTAAACCCAAAAGCTCGGAACCCTGCTGCTCCCGAAAATCAGAGCTCAGGCTTGGTTTGGGGTTTGAAATTCATGGACTGGGGCGAAACACTCATGGTTCAGGTATCGAAGACATCGCTGCAATTGGTTGGCCCCTGCTGGGCCATGTAGTTCTTGGCCCCTGGCGGGCTCCAAGAATAGCACGAGCCATTTCATCACCTGACGAACCTCGTTATGTTCCAATATTCCTCCACAGTTCTGCCGGGCTCGTGACAGAATGATGACCATGTAAAGCTCTTCAGCCAACAAAAATCCAACAGATCCCTGCCCTGCTTTAAGCTACCTTAATTCCGATAACCTTCACCCTAAGCCGTCCCGAAACAGCAATCCCCAACTTCTAAAACTCGGCTGGGCAGAAGCCTCGTGCAAGAAATACGCAATTCCCGAAAGGTAATACTATAACTACAGCAATCAACCTAGGAAAACTGCTACTGCTACTTATTCTTCAGGACACTATATCACAGGTTTTGGCCTTCGGACGTGTGAGGGTTCAGAGTCTGGGGCTTGGGCAGAAAGGATGAGGCAGGATTTCAGATTTAGATAAGGACTAAGAGTCAAATCTTTTCCCTCCCCCGGTAGGGCGAATCTAAACGGCTTAAATCCGGATTCAAACCTCTGAACCGAGCAGCGGCCATCCCAAAGAGCCAGGGGAAGGACTTTAATTCGCATTGATGCTTTTCTCTCGCTTAGGGCAGAAAAGGGAATTAAGCCGTCGGCAAGACATACATATGGTATTCAGACAAGCTAGACAGCGGTGAGACCTAGCCTGGGAGGTAGCCGAAGAGCCTGGCACGGAGGTGGGATGCAGGCTTTTGGGGATTTCTTGACTTTGCTAAGCGTTTTACTAAATTCCTAAAAAGGCCCTTCATAATAAAGGGTACCCTTTTTTCCAACTATTCAGTTTTGATAACGAGACCCTAAATAAAAAAGGGCAAAAGGGTACTACTCAGGAATTTACAAGCCTGTAGGGTTTCTATCGACATGTTGGGGTCTGGGATGCATGTTCGGGGTGTGAAGCTTATACTCTTTGTCCTACTGTTCGGTAATAACGGTGGAACACAAGAAGAAAAAGAGCAAAGGACTAGTATTAGTACAGGGGAACCTAGTTCAAGGCTTCCTGAGTTGTCCCTTAAGCCCGTTGTAAATTATTTGCGATTATGGTTCTCTAGGGGTTATAGGGTTTAGGGCAAAGTTTAGGGTTTTGGAGTCCAGCTCACAAGCACAAATGCTCAACAATTCCGCGACTGCGAATAGTAGGGGAAATTAAAAAAGATCCCAAAGGACAACCCAGCTTCAGACTCGAGCTCAGAGCTGAAGCTTTAAGAAGGGAATCCTAGGACGTCAGCTTCGATCTGGCGCCTGGATAGACGCAGACAGCCTTAGGGGCTGAGTACCCTAGCTCAAAAAAAGGTTAACCTTGTCAGTTATGGTACTAGAAGGATTATATAAAACCCCAAAAGGATGAAGGTTGCCCACGCAGCTACTAAGCAATAGAAGTAATATACTAGCAGAACCTTCATAGCTGGAATAGGGCGTTGGGCAAAACTCCGCTGATAGCCATGAATATGAAGACACAAAAGGCACTGAAACCATAGCGGCAATGCAAACCCAAAAGCAGTGATGGTGTTGTAAATTGCACACGAAAAACACCTAAACCCGAAACCTGAACATGTGTGCTGCTTACGGTTTTTCTGTGCTTAGGTAGTTTAGGGTTTGGGATTTAGGTAGGCTTTTGCTTTGGGATTCGATATGATTCGGTCCTTCTTATGGCATGTTGCTGCGGTACTATACCTTGAAAGGAACTCGAAATGAGAAACTCCGAAATCTCAAGCCCTTAAGTGAGAACACCAAAACTCGAGACCATTTAGCACCCTGACAGGAATCCCGATGATTCAAACCATTTCTCCCCGAGTGCTAAGGCCCTAAGCCCCAAAACCCAAACCCCCTAAACCGGCCTCTTTGGAAGCCGCCACACAAGTAGCTTTCAAAGGTGAGGCGTCCAGCACCGCCAGTCCTAGCGTTTGGGTTTTTCTGCGGCCCCTTGTTGCCCCAAACTGAGAAAGGCAACTTACACAAGGAAGTTAGGGCTTAGGGTTTTGCGGTCAAGGGTTTAGGGTGTAAACCTGAAATCATATGTTGGATGCCCCCTCTCTATTCTAACTAAGTACTGCCCTTCTTGGGAACCCCAAGCCCCCGAACGAAACGGTCCATGACCTGAAGCACCACGAGGCCCCCGCAAATCAAGGCATCGAGAAAAATCACCAAACCATTACACGGTAGATACACGGTAGACCGTGAATCATAATCCCTACAATTCCCCAACTCTGGCAGTCATCCATCTCAACCCCAAACCCTGCAACCTTGAAACCCTGAACCTACAACAACAACGGCAGAACTGCAAAAACATAAACCCCAAAATCCTGAACCCCTAAATCCTGAAGACCTTGAAGCCCTGAAACCTTGAAACCCAAAAAGCCTTGAAACCCAGAACCCCCAAAAGCCCAAACTCCGAGGGTCGCCTGTAAACTTTCGACAAGTCTGCGTTTCGAAAACACCCCTGCTGGAAACGAGCACCCGCGAAAAGATGCCTTTGCTCCTACTTTCGGGGCGTTCACGATTCTGATATGGTTTCAGGTTTATGTGAAGGACCACAGGGGATACTTGTGCGAATTATTCCGACACCTCCATCATCTTTCAGGGCTCCCTTTGTTTAAGCTGGGTGTAGTAACTAGGGCTCAGACTCAAGTTCATAAAAGCTAGGGAGAGCCCTTCAATGTCGAGGCTTTTGGGTTTGGGGTACAGGATAGGCAACACACCGATGCACGGTTTATTAGGGTTCAGGGGTGTAAGGTGAAGGACAACGATCCCGAACGCCCAAACCAGCAAACCTGTGCCTTAAAACCCTCCAGACGCCCAAACAAGCAGGCTTCCGAGCCGCGAGGCCACATCAATCCACGCCCAAGACAAGAAGTCCTCAGAACCCCAAACCCTAAACCTTACTTGGAGGATCATCCCAGAGAGCCCAATACCCCTTAATTAAGGATCATAGCTTAAATCAAAAGATGAAGCCTTATAAAATTTAAGCCATATTCCTTAAAAAGCGGTATTGGGCTCTCTGGGACTGGACTTGGTAAGTAGGGTTGTGTAAGTAAGGTAACTATAGTTATATCGATCTACTGATAACCCTACTTACTAAGTCCCCTGATCCTCTAACCACAGTAAACCCCGACGATAAACTATAAATATTTTGAAAAACACAACGACATGTCAACCCTTAAATCTTGAAAAACATGTTTGCCTGTAACAACCCCTAAACCATCCTAAACCCTAAACCCTTAAACACCGATACCCTAAACCCCTAAACCCCTAAACCCAAAACCCTAAACCACTAAACCCTAAAACTTCAACTCTAAACCCTTACTCCCAAAACAATAAAGCCCCAAACCCCCAGGCTAAACCCTTAATTCCAAGCCCCTAGGGGTCCATGCCTCGCTCTTGGAGATCTTCCGCCGCCTGGAGCAAAGCCCCTGGTGTGCCGAGCTGCAACCGCGAGGACACCTCCGACTAAGGGCTTACTTGAATTATGGTTTCCTTGAAGGGCCCCTTAAAGGGTCTAGAATCTAGAGGGCTCCTTAAAGGGATCTATAGGGTTTAGGGCTCGGGAACTATAGGTTTTTTCTTCTGTTTGAGGGCTCTTTTCCGTCTGCACGTGGTTACGGCCTACTCGGCAAGAGGGTTTAGGGTTGAGGGTTTAAGGCTCCGGTTTAGGGTTTAGGAATTAGGGTTGAGGGTTTAGGGTCAGGGTTTAGGGCTCCGGTTTAGGGTTTAGGAATTAGGGTTGAGGGTTTAGGGTCAGGGTTTAGGGCTCCGGTTTAGGGTTTAGGAATTGGGGTTGAGGGTTTAGGGTCAGGGTTTAGGGCTCCGGTTTAGGGTTTAGGAATTAGGGTTGTTTTTTTGAGCTCCTGTTTTGCAACTGCGCTGCCAGGCTCTGCAGGAATTAGGGTTTGGGGCTTTTGGCCTAGGGTTCAAGGGGCTTTTCAGAATTTAGGGTTTGGGGCTTTTGGCTCAGGGCTTCTCAGAAAATAGGAAGACCCCAGCTTAGAGCTTAGCTTTGGGTTTTGAGGTTCCCGTTTCCCCTAAACCCTTAACTCCAGACCCACTAAACCCGGCGAGCCCAATAACCCCTACTTAAAGTATGTACCATGAAACCATAATTTCTAGCCACTATAATGTACTGGGTATTCCTTAATTAAGGGGTATTGGGCCCTCTGAGAATCCTAAACCCGTCGAAGTTTCAGGAAAGGGTGGCCTTCACCGAGGAGGTTTGGGGTTTAGAGGTTAAGGCGGGGGAGTAGAGTTTAGGGAAGTGGGGTGCAAACGAACCGAATGACCCCAAAACCTGTAAGGAACAGGGACATCAAGACATGTGCTTTAGCATATGAGTTGTTGAATTGCTATCCACGGTTTTTCGTGTTGCTCGGCTGCTGCAAACGGAATATACCTGAAGTTAACAGCTCTACATACACATGTATATGCACATGTTTGGTCAATTAACGGCACTAAATCCTAAACCCTAAATCCTGAAGCGCAAACTCTAAACCCCTAAACCCTAAACCCTAAATCCTAAAATCCTAAACCACCTACACACCCCCTTTGGCCACTCATTTAAGAATCGAGGGAAGCAACGAAGCCCAAGACTCCTCCACAACGAGATGCTAGATTCCTACTTTAGTGCGCTTCAACGGTTGCTTGGAAGGGTTCCTTAAAGGGATCTATAGGGGTTTCTATGAGGGTTTAGGGTTTAGGGTCTACTTCGAGGATAATGGGGCTTAGTAAGTAGGTTATAAGTAAGGTAACTATAGTTATATCTACTAATAACCCTGATTAAGGTACTTATAACCCTACTTACTAAGTCCCGTGATCCTTCAAGTACTTTAGTGCGCTTCAGAGGTTGAGGGTATAGGTAGCTTCGCACGCCTAAGTTGAAGTTTGCTTTTTCGGGGATTTAGTCTTGGGGTCAGAATATTCCATCTGCTATCGAAAAGTCTTCCTGATCCCGCTACATCTTCATATGGGGGGCATATGAAAATCATGGGGCCCTTTCGATCCCTTGAACTATAAGGAATAGAATAGAATACTCACCAAAAAAGCGCCCATAATTTTGATCAACCCTAAACCCTAAACCCTAAACCCCCATATGCAACAGCGGGACCACGGGCTTCAGGAGTTCCTTAGTACGGCGGATTTGCTCCAAGTTCCCAGTCCGGGGAGTCCGGGGAGTCCGGGCCGGGGTTCGGGGCTGATTGTTTGAGTCGTCGCCTCCGACTACTTGGAGGATCATGGGACTTAGTAGAGTTACAGGTACCTCAATTACGGCTATAAGTAGATATAACTATAGTTACCTTACTTATAGTCCTACTTACTAGGTCCCCTGATCCTGCAAATGCCGCAGAGATTCTTAAGAAGTGGCAATCGAGGGTCTTAGCCGCGAAGGGCTTGCAACAAGTCTCCCTCGATGTTGTTCAGCATGTGCTTCACTCCAGGAATCATCAGCGCGCCCTCCAGTGAGAAAATGCTGGCCGTGCCCGGGTCCGGGCTGGTCCTCGCCCTGTCGAAGCAGCGCCCGCCGGAACGACAGGTCCGACAGGTAGCTCTGCAGACATGTGGGAATTTCCGCAAACAGGGGACCCTAATATAGTACCCTAAATAGTAGGATCCTTATTATAAGGACCCCAAAAATAAGGTACCCCCTATTTTCGGAAACTCCCACGTTGTTCCGCTGCATGCAAGCAATGTCCACGCAAAATGGACTTCCGGCAACATGGACTCGGCCCCGTAGTCCACTCCTCGCTGAAAGTGGGGATGATCTTGGCAAAGTGCTCCATGTACCCTTTAGAGTAAAAGCCAGAAAGTTGGAATATGATTATCCTAAACCCTTTAAGGTAAATTATAGGGTATCCTACCATTAATCCATATTCCAACTTTCTGGAGTTCCCTTTAATGGCATGGCCTGCCACGGTCTGGAGGAAAGCCTGAGACTGGTCCACAGGTGCCTTCTTTCCTGCTGAACCCAACAACATGCGCGCAGTAGTTGGCGACATCTCCCGTGTCCAAGCTGACAGCATGCGCCAAACACTCAAACTTGGCAGCTGCACTTGGATTGCCCGAGTTCTGCCTCATTGGAAGATCTGTGATTCTCTCTAGTGTAGAGCCTTCAACGCAGATCCTAAAAGGGTAGACTATTTCGCCGAAGACTATACGTAGACCCTGAAGAACCTCTGCTCGTAGATGACCTAGACCCCCAACCCGAAACCCCGAACCCCGAATTTGAATCCTAAAACCCAGCCCTAAACCCTAAATCCAAAACGCTAGCGCTGAACCGGATAAACTCCACATCCTGAAACCTCATCCCTGAACCTAAACCCTAAACCCTAAACCCTGCCAGAGTTTCCAGGCCTGATCCATGGCCCATGGCTGTCCAGAATTTTCAAAGCGCAGTTCTTCTCTTTGGGGCTTCTAGGGTTTAGGGGTTTGGGGTTCAGGGGTTGGGGCTTTGGGGTCTAGGAGTTCAGGGGTTTAGGGGCTTTATGCAAACAGCCCCTGCGGACTATCCGGGGCGAGATGGGGCTTATGGCTTTAGGCGATGAGGAGTTCAAGGGTTAGGGGGTTTAGGGTTATACGGTTTATACTTGAAGGCTTGAGGTTATCGCAATTCTCATGCCTGGAGCGTTCAGGGTTCGGGCTTAGTTCCCAGAGACTCCGAAACCCCTTAATTAATCAAAGAGTGTATACCTTAAGTTATAGTAGGATCCCTAGTATGATTTCAAGTAGATTTTTCAATTAAGGGGTGTTGGAAGGTCTGGGTTTCCGCTGTGGGGTTTTGACAAGGGCTTGAGAGACTTTCGGCTCAGGCTTTGCGGGCCTGAGGCTTTAGGGTGTAGGGCTTCGGGCTTAGGGGTTTAGGGTTTAGGGTTTACCTTACCTAGCTGAAAAATGTCAGGTTTACGTATAAGCTTTGGGATTTGGGCTTAGGGTTCAGAGTCGTCGAAGGAGTTCGTTTGTCTACAGCAGTCTATTGAAGCAGAAGTGCTGCTCGTAAGGCCCCGCTATTAATGCGTTCTTGTAACAGTTCTATAGGGGTTTATATGGTTCCTTTAAAGGGACCTAGAAACGTTCCTTTAAGGGCTCCTTTAAGGGAACTATAGGGTTTATATGTGCTCCTGGCCACTCTAAGTCGTGGATGTAACTGGTGCGTAGCATGGCCATCTGGCCCCGGGCTGATGTCGAGCCTAGGACGGGCGGCGTGCAGACTATGCCTGTCCAAGCCTGTCGTTTGGACTTCCTGCCGTGGGCGCTGCAATATTACCATCTGACCAAACCTTTTTCAATTGGATGGGACTTATGCGGTGCTGGCGGCAACAGACTAACTGTCGCTGCCGGAAAATCAGATCGCCTCATCTCCTATCTTAAATCCTGCACATCATACTTGGAGGGTCGGGGGACTTAGTAGGTAGATAGTTCGTAGACTTATAAATATCATAACCCCAGAGTGCGATCCCTTTCAGGGTACCTACAACACTACTCTTATTACGTACTCACTGAACGCTAAACCCCAAAACCCAAAACCCTAAACCCCTCAACCCCAAACCCTAAACAACTAAGTCCCCCTACCCTCCAGGTAGAAGTGCTACGAAGCCTCCACACGGAGTCTGCGATGTGGAGCCTTTGAGAGGGCTCCAGGTGGTTGGCGTGATGCCCTTTGGGATTCACGCCGCAAGCCTGTACGGCCGAAAAAACATAGGCGTCTGCAGAAAGTGACATGTACACAAACGGTTGTGTTAGTCATCCTCACATCCTGAAGCATCTTTGCCTACTGCGGGCAATACTCTTCCCAAGAATGAAAAATAATGTGGGGGCCTTTATAATTAGAATAGGGTTTTGGGATCCGTTATACTATAAGCATAATAAGGAACCCCCAAAATAGTATTGGTAAGTTTAAGCCCCTTTAATATCCTGAAGCAGGACGGCGGCTACTGCGGCTTGGAAGACCTGGAGTCTCGAAAACTTCGTTGCCTCTGCGAGCGGGCTCTGCTTGCCTTGGCCTTTCCTCAGCTGTTGCCGCAGGCATCTTGTACACTGCTGTTTAGAGGGATCCGAAAACTCGTACCATATATCTATATGCTACTATATGCTATGCATATATATATATATGTTCTATCTATGTGTATATACGTATAATTTACATAATTATATATCTTACTAAGGATTACAAAACCCGATCTTCCCAACTGTAGCGGAGCCGCGAGCTGGAACAGTTGGCTTGCGGGTTGGGCTCGATCTCTCCTGCTGTGGTTTGGCCGCTTGGGACTTAGTAAGTAGGGTTCCTTAAAGGGCTCCTTAAAGGGATCTAAAGGGTTCCTTAAAGGGATCTATAGGGCTCCTTAAAGGGATCTATAGGGTTTAGGGTTTAGGGTCTACTTGGAGGATCAGGGGACTTAGTCAGTAGGGTTATAGGTGAGACAAGTATAGTCATATCACTTATAATCCCAATTAAGGTACTTGTAGCCCTACTTACGAAGTCCCATGATCCTCCAAGTATGGGTAGTTCCCTAAATGAGGGTCCCTTTAAGGGTCTTTCTTTTAATCGAGCCGTACATTTTGGTGACCTAACGAGGGACCCTAGTTTGGATAACCACAATTTTGGAACAAAACATTATCTGACCATCTATGTCCCCCATGTCTACTGCTCAGAACGTCTACCTCTAGAGTTGACCTTACTTACTGGAAGCCCTTGTGCGAAAGTTTCCTCCAAGCCCCGCGCTGCCATCGCCGGCAGTGCTGGCATCGGCGAATCTGCCATGTTCAACTCAATGCAAAGTGGAGTGATTGCATTCCTGGGCTTTGAAGTAACCAGGGAGAAAAACGTATGGACGTTGATTTCATAATGGTTCCCTTTCACTAAAGGGTCCCGAAAAAAGCATTAAAGTATGGTACTCCAAAGCCCAGATTCTCTTCGACCTTCTGAAATGTCTGCGGCATCTCCTCGAAGCCCCATGCCGGCGCAGGCAAGTCCCTGACAGTCACTGCCACGGCTGCTTCGGCTCGGGCCATGTCTGGCATCTCTCCAGAACCTGAGGCTGGGGTACTGTTGATGATAGTTATAATTTTTGCATTACCTTAAGAAACCTAAACCATGGGAACTATGGTACATTCCCTATTCTGGGTAATGCAGGATTTATATCATCAACCGTAGCACGGCCCAACTCCGCAGCAGCTGTGGAGCCCAATGCATCAACGCACTCTGCCGTCCTCGGATTCGTTCAAGTGACTGGGCAAGTGCTGCCCAAACAAATTCATGCCAGGATGGTCTGGAAGCTGTGCAAAACTTCTCGAAAACTAACAACATCTACAACCGCAAGTCAGACCGAGTTTCTGAGCCGCCCCGGCGTCAGTCGTGGTCTCCGCCTTCAAAGAGTGATAGAGCAACTTTGCACGGTCTTTCAAGGCTTTTCAAGTTGACAACATATTCACTCGTGCTTCAAGTTTTCTGGAAAATCCTGTTTAAGACGTGACTGGTGGGATTTCCTGTTTCGCATCCAAAACGTAGCTAGCCGGTGTATGGGAGAAGTTAGGGTCTACCTTAACCCTGAATAACCTACCTCTTTAGGGTTCCTTATTAAGATTTCCTTATATTCCGGCTTAAGGTAGGGTTTAGGCGCCCTGGGCCTCGGAAGTCCTTGGGTTCAAACTACCTGGCTCCTCGACTTCTGCAGCGAACGGCAAGCCATTGCCAAGGACATGGACTGGAGGAGCAACCACCTCCCGGACAGGTTGATGAGACTGATGCCAAAAAGTGCACAGGCGGCGGAAGCAACTGGAAACGGGCGGTGCTTGGATCAATTTCTGAGTCAAGGGCTCACTGCTTCCTGTAACACGCCAGTGAGCCTAGACACGTCTGGGGTCATGCTCAATCTTTACATGCGTGGCCTCATCTGCCGATGCTTCCGGGCTCTCAACCTCGTTGAGTTCATCATCGCTCAGATTGAGAGCCTGGGTGGCATAGCCTGCAAGGAACAGGGCACAACAAGGCTAACCATTCTGTCACAAGGACCCCCAACCACTTGAAGGCGTCAGGCGTTGTAGGCCGTAGGCTGTTGTCAACTCTTCAACAAACTGCCTGGCCTGCGAACTGGAAGGTGCTCAGGAGCAGGCTGCCGAATTGAACCACCATCTGATCTGCAGTCTGCACGGCGAAGAAGAAGGCGTAGGCCGTGATGCAGGCACAGAAGAAGGCTTCGGAGCGCTTCTCCTCCTGCTTAGGGTTTAAGGGTTTAGGCGTTTAGTGTGTAGGGGTTTAGGTGTTTAGGTGCTTGGGGCTTAGGATTTAGGGTTTAGGCTTAGCTTCAAAAGTGCTTGACCGTGTCCTCCAAGTAGTCCAAGAGATCTTGCCTCATGATGCCCCGCTCTGTGCTGGCCTTGATCGCCTGCCGCAGGCACAGACGGGTGCCAGTCACTCTATGGACTTAAGAGCCACAAAAAACTGTATAGAATAGAATGGGGCGGATGCCTGCCGGAGGTGCCAGGGTGGGAGCACGCGCAGCTGTTTCAGGCCGCTCCGCGCCACCACGAACGTCATGACCGCGGCAAAGAAATAGTGTTTTGATGCGAGAAAAGTGAAGATTGTGTTGACGTCTAAGACCACATCCAGCACAAGCAATGCCACTCCAAAATACAGCCCACCACCTTTCCAGGGCCAGGAGAATGCCACTGTTGGCATGATCTTTGTGTTCACTTGGCCAAACTCTTCTGGAGTTTGCGTTTGCAGCAAATCCTTCACAGCCTGCGTCTTTGCTTGCGTGTGCTCTGGATCAATGAAGCTTGCGGGAGGACCCAAGAATATGGTGCCACAAACTTGTACAATAAGACATTGAGTGTACAAGAGGACCAGGAGAAGGTAAAAGCCGCACAAGATGAGAAAAATCGAACCAGCCTGCAGTGGCGGAGCCCACGAGAACATCCAGTGATTGTTCAATGTGTTGTCGAAGTCACCCCAAACATACCTCATCTTGGTCTCAACCCATTTCGCAAAAAGCGGGTTAAGGAGCAGGCCCGAATCATGTATTGGCTCCGATAGTTTTCTGCCCGCCCGCTCGAGGAGGAACCCGACCAAACCACAGAAAGCCAAAGTGCGCAGGAGTGCCCACATCCGTCCGGCGAAGCCTCTGCTCAGAACTGTCAGGGCTGGCGCACGGAGCACGGCTCCTATTCCATGGAGGATAATGGCTGGTATGAGATATGACATAACTGCCACCGGCAACCACCAAGCCCAGTTTGCGACAACCAACACGAATCCCAGCCAAAGCACGGCAATGCAGACTTCTAGCCAGCACCACAGCCTGCGGCGAATGCTATCTTTTGCGAAGGCTTGGCTGACCAGCAGTTTAGCGCCTTCAAAGAATGGGCAACGCGTGGCATCCTCGTGCATGAGCTTGGTGGACAGGCGCTGCATGAACTTTTCCTCCACAAAAACCACCGCTGAGGCCAGTAGTGCCACGGTGCCAGGCACCACAAAACTGTTCCAATCTTGCAGAGTTCTCGCGACAAGTGCCATGCGCGTCATGCGCTGCTGCAAGTAGTCCCTGGCCTCTGCATTTTCTATTCGGTTCATCAGTGGCGTTCCCGCGGAGTCGTGCCAATCGATGTCGCCGCCACACTGCAGCCAGCGCTGCAATGAAGCCACGGACAACTCGTAAACACGATCGCACTGCAGCTGCACGGCTGCATCTTTCCAAGCCTCAACATGGGAAAGGTTGCCTCCACAGCCCGTGTCGATCACGAAGTTGCAAGAGAGATGGCCGGTAAGCGAATCGGAAGGCGCATCGGGAGGTAGCCTGTCCAGCAGAAGAAGCAGCGCTTCCGGGCTGCTTCTCTCAGCCACATGAATAGGAGTCGCGCCACTGCTGTCTGTTGCAGATGCCCCTTCAGACCAGTAGTCCAGCAGAAGCTCCAGATACCTGATACTGTTGGCGTCAGCTGCTTCATGTACAAGTGTCCAGCCGTGGTCATCAGTGGCTTTCGCCTTGTCGGGAAAGCCTTCCAGCAAGCGCTCCAAGATGTATTCATTGGGATCGCCCATGTGGACCATGGCTCGCAGCACCACAAATAGCCCCTCCGAGGATAAGCGATCCAGCATCAATTGGATAGCATCATAGTGACGACTGCTGGCTGCATACGCCATCGGCGTCATGTCCCACGGGTTCTGAGCTAGGAGTCCTTCAGGCCAAGCCTCGATCAGCAGACGCAAGACCTCCAGCTTGTTCCTCCTTGCTGCCACGTGAAGCATCGAGTCCCTGTATCCATCATCTAGTACCAGTGAACTCACATCGACCTGCTGGGTTCTGTTTTAAGCCCTTTGAAAATTATTTATGAATAGGTTCCCTTTATAAGCAAATAAGGGAAATTAAAAATTATCCCAAAGCACAACCCAGCCTGTCCAGAATCCAGAAGTCTCTGAACCTCACTTGCGTTGCCCCGCTGCACGGCGGAGATCATGTCCTGCTCCAGGGAGGAGGCCAGTGCACAAAGCCTGCACAGCCATGGCAGCACCAATCGGAGCATGGTTGCCTCTCCTGAATGGGAAGCCGTGTCTAAGATCAAGGCCTTGACAAATCCTACTTAGAGGATCATGGGGTACCTTAATTAGGGTTATAAGTAGATATACCTATAGTTACCTTACTTATAACCCCACTTACTAAGTCCCCTGATCCCGCAAGTACTCTTTCTACTGTTGCCCATGGTAGTCTCGAGGATTGCGCAAGACGTGCCCCGGCTTCTTTCTTGAGGCGTGCTTCGGGCGGCGCTAGATGCAGCAGGGCCCACCCATCTAACCTTTTTGGTGATATAGGGATTATATAGGGACTAGACTACCCGAAGGAGGTTAAAGGTTCCCTACCCTACTACTAGGTACTTAGGGGCACCTTGCTAAACAGCACATGCAAATCAGTAAGCAGAAGCCGTTTCTCATTCTTGCTGCGACCGGCTCTCAGTGCGGCATCCTGAGCGCGGTGGTATATGCCACCAGTGGCTAGATTCTAGAGAGTCAATACCCCTTAATTGAGGAATATATGGCTTAAATTCTAAAGGACTTCATATTATGATTTAAGCCATATTCCTTAATCAATGGGTATTGGGCTCTCTGAAATTCTACACATCAAAGGGTACTTGCCCTGCGCTGCTTCTCACTCACGCTTCAACCTCAGATTTGCCTTCGATCAGCCGCCGTCAAGAGACGAGGCTCCAGAAATCACGCTGCAGCCGAGAGATAGGATGGCCACAAGGCTCGGATGGTCTCGGCTGCGCTGTATGTGTGCATAGATGTGTGTACAGTGTATATGTATATGTTACAACTTGTATGCCATATGCTACTTGTATGTTCCATGGGTGTATGTATATATATATATATATATATATGTATGTATGTATGTATGTATGTATGTATGTATGTATGTATGTATGTATGTATGTATGTATGTATGTGTGTGTGTGTGCGTAGTTGTATGTGTGTGTAAATGTATACATATGTCTTATGTATGCATATGTTATGTGTGTGCATAGCTGCACTAGCTCGCCATCTGCGCAGTTGGCCAAGTGACCATTATCCGGGCCGCCTCCGCGCCCGCCACGGACAAATACAGACAAATAGGCTTGTCGGCCTCCAGCAGCTTGAAAATGTAGAGACATGGCCATCACCTCAGCAGCCGCGTGTTGTCGCTGTTGACGATGACCAGGTAGCCCATGATGACTGGCGCGTCCACCTGAACTCTGGGCCCTGAAACCCTGAACCCACCAAGCCAGGCGCCCTGTTATTCCTGGACACCTTGCTTAGAGGATCATGGGACTTAGTAAGTAGGGTTATAAGTACCTTTGTTAGGGTTATAAGTAGATATATCTATAGTTACCTTACTAAAAACCCCACTTATTAAGTCCCCTGACCCTCCAAGCATAGTATCCCTTATAGACCCTTTTCAAGGAACCCTACTCCAATTATTGGGGCCCCTCCCTACACCCTGAATCCTAAACCCTAAACCCTTTTCCAAGTCCCCTGATCCTCTAAGTAGACCCTAAACCCTAAACCCTATAGATCCCTTTAAGGAACCCTCTAGATCCCTTTAAGGAGCCCTTCAAGGAACCCTACTTACTAAGTCCCCTACCCTATAGCTCCCTTTAAGGAACCCTACTTACTAAGTCCCCTGATCCTCGAAGCAACCTGCAGCTCCCTTTAAGGAACCCAAGTATCTATAGATCCTCAAAAGGGACCCTTACTAATAGGGCCCCAAAAAAGCACATAAGCAACAATGAGGATAGGGATATCCCATATAAACCCCCTTATAATGAAGCCCAATAAGGTAGGGATACCCCGGTAAAATGCTTATGCTTATGTGCTTTTTGGGTCCCTAAACTAAGTCCCCTGATCCTCTAAGTAACCTTGGGCATCGGCTCCGTGAGGCTTGCGGCAGCTGCGCAGCGGCGTGCCTCTCGCAGGTGCCCATGTAATCACAGGGACCCTTAGGGGGGGTAAGGGGGAGGGGGGTTTAGGGTTTAGGGACTATACTTCCTTAAACAAGCCTATACTTCCTTAAGCGGGGTTTAGGGTTTAAGGTCTAGGGTTTAGGGTTTAGGGATTATACTTCCTTAAACAGGCCTTACTAATTCCTTATTGTGGGTATTAAGGCCCCGCTACCCCACTAAGGGTCCTCATGATGGTAGTATGTAAGCCGACATTCCTGCGATGGCTAAAAGTAAGAAAAGGTTTCTTAACAAGCATACATACATACAAACAAACATACATACATACATATGTGTGCATGTGTATATATAGATATATAGAGAGAGAGAGAGATATTTAGATATCAATATAACTACAATCTATCGAATAGAACGACATCACATAAACAGATTTTTCTTTATATGGTACAGTTTGGTGATCTGCAAAAGTTGGATTCAACTCAAGGCAAAGCGAGCGAACAAGTTCGAAGTAACCCAAGGTGCATTGTTACAGAAGCCTGGTACAATCCTATTCTCGGGAACAGTTCTCTTCTGGCAGGCATTCATACGTCGAGCCCTCGCATCTACGATCTGCAGACTGTGAAGCACCCGATAATGGACTCTAAGCCCACAGAACCTGAGCTTCTTCTCGGACAAGCTTCAACATTCCGAAGGCAAAACACATTCCTTCTACCTACACTTTCCACAGGGCTACATCGTAAGCCAAACCCTAAAAACTTGCGAGGTTTAGGCTGCAGGGCAAAGGACTACTGTAGGTCTGTTGCTCAAGGCGTAACGTTTCGGCGTCAAGGTTCGGGTTTGTTCACGCTAACGGTGGCCAGACACGTCTGCGAGTAAAATGCCAACCTCTGCAATACCGTTGACCCCGAACCCAAACCTCCTATAGTAGAAGCCAGAAAGTTGGAACATGGCTTTAGGAGGATTAGTGCTAGGATCCCTTATACTTTACCTTAAGGGCATGGGGACAATGATGTTCCAACTTTCTGGCTTCTACTATAACCGTAATATAGGTGACTTCATGATTAGAATAAGTTTGGGGGTGTAATATACTGCAACTTTGATAAGAACCCAGAAGATAGTATTGGTGATGATTTAAGAAGCCCCAAGCCCTGAACCCTAAACCTTTCCGTGCAGCATCCGAGGCTGTGAGAAAATCGAACTCGATCGTCGAAACCGACAAAAATTTTAGACTGCATCATAGGGGCCCGTAAAGGGGGTAGGGGACCATATTTCTTTACATTAGCCTTATTAGGTCCTTATCATGGGCATTAAGGCCCCCCACCACCCACCCGGCCCCTACCGCCCTAAGTGTCCCTATGACTGTAAGGTTTCGGGTTTGTTCAGGCTGGCACTTATGGTCCCGGGCTTCGGACCTGGACCTCAAACAGCAGAACAAGTCTTGGGGGGGGTGGTAAACCCAAAGTAAAACCCCTAATAAACCTTAAACCACACCCTCCCATACTCCCTAGCCTGCGAGACACGGATGACCCACAGGACCAAGCTTACCTTTGCCGGCAAAAAATATCGCAGGTTTAGGGTTCACGCAAGTTTTTCTTGGGTTTGTATGTGCCTCATACTGACTTGTAGGGTTTGGGACTCTTGAGAAGGGGTAGGGTGTCGGATGAGGATCAGTTTGTTGGGGGCCAGGGATATTCGGGCCCCTTCCTTCTTTGGCCCCAAAACCGCATAGCAAACTACAGCTTTAAGAACTTATGACCCTCAACCGAGGTACACATGAAGCTGCTAAAGGTCATGTTGGCAGGCCTTCTTATGGTCAAGACCACCCTCGTCACTACCTCGTGCACCAACGGTTCTCTTAGTTCTCTGACAGTCTTACACACACGGTTTAGGGTTGAGGGTCAAACTAATGCAAGAAACAGTGCTGACATGTTTCACGATAGCAACTCTGTGGAAGACTTCGGCGGACCGTACTCAAACACCGCCGTGGGAGACGATCGAACAAACAAACACGGCCGGCACGAATCAAGAACGACGGCATGACAAAACACAACTAAACCAACCGACTTCCCTGACCGCAACACAGCGCGACGTCACAAAGGATGACACACAATGCAACGCTGCTCATTCTCCGACCCATGACCTCCGGAGCCTTATATTCAAGAGTGCTCTGTAGGTCTGTATGTCTGTATGTCTGTATGTCTGTCTGTATGTCTGTATGTGTGTATGATGTGTATGATGTGTATGCATGTACTTATGTGTATGCATGCATGCATGTATGTGTGTATAAAAACACGCGCACACATTTTGCCATGCGCATGCAATCGTACTCATTCATGTGGTCAGTTACTTAGCATAACTGAAGACAGCCCCGAGTTGAATCGAATGTCCTACTTCTGAAGGCTACCATGTGCTTGAAACTTGAAACCCCAAGAACCCAAAAGCCTTACTTTAAGTAGGCTTTGGTGTTCTGGGCACAAACGCACACAAGCCAAAGTAACCGGGTCGAGGGAAACACAGTTAGAGCACTGAAGCGGAAACCTTTAACTCAAGACCGCGACCTGGGGAACATAATGGTCTTGGTATTGACAACGAAGAAGTAAGGGGTACCAAAAAGTAACAATCGTAGAACAATACTGACAATGACAGTAATCACCCATGACAACATGACAACCACAAAACCTGGACCCTAAGACCCAGTTCATGAACCAGCAAGCTAAACTCTATTGCAACCCCAGAGCAGGATCCAGAAAGGTTGCACCGCTCTGCACGGAGTTTCAATTGCACCCTCTAGTCCTTGATCACAAGGCACTCTCTGTGAGTTGCGGACCTATGCAGGCAGCCACTGAATGCCGCCTGGACACAGGGTTTAGGGTGAATCCGAAAGCCTGAGACTCCCTTACGCCCCGGGTTCTCCTGCCTAAGGGTGGTTTAGGGCGCATGAAACCCCCCAAAAATCAGAGAGCCCAACACTTCGCGTTACTCACGACAGTAGGATTCGTTACCTATACTCAGCGACTATTCCACGTCTTCATTGGGAAGTGGATTACAACGAAGACTCGGACTGCTGCTTGGCGGCTTCATAGAGTTTGGTA